GCGATATTCTACAACTGAATTTGCATCATGCAAGCCACCTCATGTTTCATATATATATATATATATATATATATATATATATATATATTGCACATGGTGTTACGCCTGTATGCTCCTATTTGAGTATACAGCGCACGTCATTTTGCCTCTCCAGAAACTCGCTATTATTCGTAGAATCAGCTTTACCTTCCCTTTTCGATGGATGTGCATTTGACCCATACCTTCTTCGAAAAACCCCTCAACCCACCCGAAACCTTTTGCTTGCATCTTGAAATTGTGAAGTCTCTTGTGCCAACCCTTGGTGATACGAATCTTCTCTTTCGATCGCTCGGCAGGTGCTCACTCCTGATGAATAAGCTGTGTGACATATGTCGGCGTACGCTTTCCAGTGAAATCGTACGAAAAAATTTCAGATATTTTGACTTCAAAATGATGTTGGTATTAAACTCGCTTATCGGAACCCTGCTAAATTCTTCGATACTCGCAGTTATTCCTCTGATGTACTCCATCCCGCATGCGAACCACTATGCAGGATCAGATGTAGTGACTGGGTTTAGGTGTGATGGTTCTATCAAAGTAACGTCATCACTTTGGTTCATGATGAGAGGGGCCCGACGCAGCGCATTATCAATTTCATGGTCATGTATTAGACTAAGAAAGCCGAAAGGTGGCCTGTGTATTATTTTGAAAAATGAAACATTGTCCCAACAACGTGGTCGTTTAGAAACATTTTGGTTTGCGTTTGCGGGCGCATATCTTATCACTCTGGTAATACTATTTTCTTCTCCCTTCGTGTTCTTTTCTCTTTTCCAAGGATGTTATATATGCCATACGTGATACGGCCTTTGTAACCAGCGAGTATCCGGTGATTATGTCATTTGAAAATCACTGCAGGTATGCCTACTGTTCATATTTACTGCTTTTGCATTGACGCTACCTAAATGAAGTAGCCCATTTAACTTTGCTGGTGTATGCTTGAGGTTTTGCGAATCCGTCCCCATCATAACTTACTTCGGAAGGAATTTCCCGCCGTACGAGAACAAATGACGAAGTATTACACATGATTGGCTTATCTTTACTTCGCTTCTCTGGTTTGTTTTACTCCCGGCTTACTGGAAACGAGCTTAGGTGCGCTTCATATCGGTCCCTATGTTTTCACTGTCGGCTTCTATCGGTCATTTTTGAACGTCGCTTCGCAACGTTCTCATTGATTGATCACAGGATGATACACAGCGAAACGAGGGGACATTCTCTACTTGCTGTTACCCAGAAGGCAATGTGATGCATATATTCCACGCCCGGGGTAAAATAACTGTTTTTTCTTCCTGAAGAATGACTTCTAAGTCCTTTGTTCGCTGGTTCTTTCATTGTACATAATAGCTTGTCTGAAAATGCAGCACCCATTGCCTCACGAAAACAGTTACCTTTCTTGAAGGGGGGGGGGTTGGAGTAAGGTGGAGAGGATAGTCTGCTCGTTATTGGTGTTCACTTCGTTGCCCATGAATATCCCACTCATAAAATTCCAGTGTATATGTTACATGAGGGCCTAGAGTTTGATATGTTGTTCATTTTGCCAATATCGACCGATGGCTTTCATGGTCCATCTACACAGTAGATTGATGAGTACTATGAATCTGTGTGAGTACTGGCTTATTTTCACGCCTCGTGCGCACCATCAATCATCATCATCTCTTGTGACGGCTCCATGGCATTTGAAATGCAAGCGCATAACCAAGTTAATATATTGGCACAGAAAGATGTCCATTCGTGATGCCTATTTTTTAAGACCTGATAATGTCACGTCAACAAGCGGCTGTTGAGGTATTCGGGTTCATGATTTGTTCTAACACACTACATCCAACAACTCAGATGAATACATTTGCACGAAGGAATACTTCTCCATTTCTCATCGTTGCACTCGTGCCTATGCGATGCTACCTCCCAACCCCCTACTCGAATGGGTGACATCCCTCCTCTACTGGTCACCCGAACATTACCATTGAATTCATGAGTAAGTCGCCAACCTTTCAAATAGGGCCGGAGGACTTTGTAATTTCAGTCCTGCAGTGCTCAGACATCTCGTTTTTTAAAATCGAAAATAGGCATGTCATGATTAACTTCACTTTAGATGTGATAAGCCAGGATGTTCAAAAACTCATTTGGGCACCACTGTCCGCATTCCCGATACTGTCTACTGGGCGTAACAAGGTGGAGTGGTCCCGCGGTTTTTGCTTAATGCGGTAGGTCATGAAATGTACCCTGAGGCGTGAGTTCCAAGTTGATTGGTCAAGTTATTTTAATCAACGCTGCTGAGCTCAGTCTCTCAGAAAAGGCCTCGGTGCACGGCTCGTAATTCAGCTGACTGGCCCTGGACTTTGAACGAGTACGACTACGAAATAAGTAGTTATTTTTCCTCAGTTCCATTAAAGTGCGTCACATAATGCTTATAAGCTAACGCAGTGGTATTAACGATTAGTAATATATGGGTCACAACATCGTAAAAAATTGATGACATTACAGGACTTGACCCCTCTTAACGGAATTTCTGTGGATGGAC